GTTTAAAAGAGTTCAGCATGCTTTGCAAACAGACAAAACAGAAAACGATAAATCAAATATTTTCCATGTCTCTATAATTTATAAATACCTGCATTTGGATCTGGATTTACCCCATCTAAATTTAGGTCCTTTATAGGCTGAAAATGCTTCAGGTAAGAGACCCTCCAACTCCCTTTATAGCTGACGAACAGAGGGGTCTAAATTTCTGACAATGTCCCTCTCTTCCTTGTTTGATTTTACAGACACCCAAAGCCCAAGGACCAGCCTAAATTAGAGGGCCTAGAAATAGATGCTGAAGAGTTAAGTGGACCGAATCTTAACCTATCTTTGTCATTGCAGTGGAGTAACTTACTGAAATGAATTATAAACTTATGCGAATGGCAAAATGCTGAAGTCTGAGTGAGGGTCTGAATCTTCCTCAACATTTCTTCATTTGATGGGACTTACCAGAAAAGCAGCAGAATGGGACAAGGATAAAGAAAAGATCCTGAGGCTACCTGGTGCCCTGATGTCTATTTGCCTTGCCACAACTGTTCTTCTTTTGAGTTATGGCAGCATAAGAGAACTTTAGTCAAAAGCCAGTGCTTTCCAGGAGCCTTTTCTTTGATTTGGTAGTTCTGGGTTGAAATACACATCTCTTCCTTATTTATGTTGTCCTTTTTTCCCCCCAGTTCATCATAAGGGAGATTTTCTTTTCTACCACAAAAAGGATTCAGAGCTCCAGAGAAATTATCTTGGGCTCCCACGTAGCAGTAATGTTTTCTACTAAAATTTATTATTATATGGCTAAAACCTCTTCAATTTCTTCCTAACCTGGCAGAGTCATTACATTGTGCATACTCTGAATGTCACATATTGTGAATATTAATTTTATTTTTCTTAGTCTGGTTGAAATCAAATGCATATTAATAGCAATAACTTTACCCTCATAGTGTCCCTTAACTATATACAAATATAATAGTAATATGGCTGACTTGTTGTTTTAATAGTGCTGGTGGAATAGGTGAACTGAGTCAGTGGTGTTCTTGATCACCCGAGGGCTGTTGCAAGGGTATCTGGTTTTATACCAGATACTTCAGTCTTAACTCTGTTGGAACATTGTTTAATATTAATTCACTAAAGGTCATTGCAATTGCAGGGAAAAAACGTTGACAGAACAAACAATAGGCTGTGGCCTGTAACTGTGGAAGTTTTGGGTAATTATCCTTTTTTCTGTGAATCCGATTGGATTCAGTACAACTAGCAATTGCTTGACAGAACCCAGACCTTTGTGGAATCACGTGGGTTTCAGTTCTGCACCATATGATTACTTTGGAAAATAAGCACCTATTCAGGCAAACAAACATAAAGCAAGAAAAAAAGGAATATAATTTAAATTTAAAAAAAATTAAAAAGGAAATCCAACAAGCAAGGAAGTGAAATTTTATTCAGTGATAACAAAAATCCTCAGTAATCATATCCAGTCATCCTCCTTGTGTTTGATTTCTGCTCTTCTTCTTTGAATCATGGCCACTGCACAGGAGTGATAACCTGATGTTTCTTTCTGTTCAAGGCAAATTGGGTAATGGAGTCCAAGAAACACAGAATCTAGGTTGTATTTCTGACTTTTTTCTTTCAGTATGCACATGGCAAAGATAGCCTTTTTCAATGAGCAAACAAAATCTGAATGGTGAAGTACCGTAGACTCATTCTGGCAGATATATTGGAATAATTCCCCAGCAATAAATATTTTTCTGTAGATTTAATTTCACCATTGTGTGAATACACACTCAAGTCAGTTGTGGAAAAAGACCACCTGGAGTGTTGAAAATGAACCCTTTGTAGGTGCTTGCTTTTGAAAGGCTGACGTTTTCCAAAGATGAGAATTGTGTCCCTGAAATTTATGAGCATTCTTAAGGGATTTGTAAGGGAGAGGATTAGGGTTAGTGAAGTCTCCACTGGTATTGAAAACACGCAGCAGGAAAAGACACCTAATTCACTCCCCCTCTTTTTTTTTTTCCTGAAAAAGATTAATGTGCATGTTTGAAAATAAATATTTTAATAGTATTGCATTATTACTTGTTAATGCATTATGATACTGTAAAATCCCTTAGCAAAATTAATGACATTTAATGAATAGATTCTGGTTTGCCTTTGGAAGCCAGAGCCAGCATTACACAAGGCAGCGTGCAGCAGCTGGAAAGAGGGCCCCGATTCTCTGGCAAACATCTGATGGATGACACACACTCTGATGGAGCTTAAAGGGTTTCCTGAGGAGTCAGAGCAAGGGCTGTTGGTGCTTGTTCTTCCCCGTCCTGCTTTAAGGTCCTGTTATATTCCAGGGTCACTACCATCAACCAGCCTGGCCAGGCAATTGGAGAAACACTCACCATTTACCATCTGGAGCGGTTAAATATGTGTGTACTTTTAGTCCACTCAACAGTTGATGCTTGAAGAAACGGGCAAAGGAATCCTCACAATGAGAATTGTCCTTGTTTTGTCAGTATCATGGTTCCATATCAGATTTTGTAGAAAAAAATCCGGACATGTTTTGGGGAATGCTGTGGGAGAGGGAAGTTTCTTATAGAAAATCTAGGCAAAATAACAGGTTTTGGGGGAGGAAGAAATTTTAGCCTTATGGATAAAAACTATTCCATGCTGCTTGACCTTAAAGGTGAGGAACACATCCTGGACCTGTTTAATCTACAACTGTAGGAATTACCTCAGGTATCTCAAGAACCAGAAGCCTCTAGAAGGTGATGATAGTGGGATAGTGGGCCAAGTAGTTTTGGGGAGAAGCATGCCTGTAGTGACCAACCAACACCTGGAATGCAATCTGGTGTTAGAGGCAGGTACAATTGGCATAACTGAAATGAAAACTTCATTTTTATGGGAGGTGAGAATTTGACCTACATGAATTTATACTTTCCTTATTGTCTTGAAGTTCACGCCCTTGCCTTCTTCTGCAAGCATTGTAATTGAAAACTAAACATATTTGGAGAATGTTTCTACAGACCTTACTCATCTGAACAATTTGTCCGTACTTCAATAGGACTGTTCATGTGCGTAAGAGCCGGAGTGGACGTGTGCTTTGAAACAGCTCTGTATCTCTCTAATCTTGTTTTGTCAAATGTTGTTTGATGAAGCTTGGAAGTTACTTTAGCAGACGTATGTAGGAAGAACACATTTTTAGGAGAAGACTGGCTGTTCCTTTTTGGCTTTGATTTATCAGCATACTAAAATATGCATGTTTGTGAAACTGAATCTTTTCATCCGTATCCCTCCAATTTTCCATCTTTTGTTGCATCTGCGTATTTCCCTTCTTGGTAACTCCTCTTATGAGTAGTTTAGTAATCTTGTAAAACAGTTTCTGTAATTTTAAGCCAAGAATTTACATAAAAAGCAAACCTGTTGTTTAAAAAGCTGTTTTATATAGATATTAGCAAAATAATGAGTCAGGGAACAGTTACTTAATTAGCTAGAGACTTGTTATCTAATGTCTGAAGAAATTCTCAATGGGGAAGATAATTGATTTTGTACTCATATAACACTTCAGATATAACTTCTAAATCTCAGTTATAAAAAAACCCCACACACTCCTCATCACTTAAGATGCTCTTTGATCCTTGACTTTTCATTAAAACATCATATATGTTGGCTTTTGCCTTTTAGCAGTCTATTGAATTACATTTGTACCTGCATGCCCAAGGTGAAGAACCAAGGGCTGTACTCTAGAAGCTGTATTCACAAATCTGTATCTAGAAAACACATACGAGAATTTTTCTGTTAGAAGTCTTCCAGTTTCCACAGTACCCACTGCATATGCTGTTTCATTATTTAAATCCCATAGTGGTAAAAATAAAGGTATCAATAGGCAGAGATGATTTCTGTAGATTATCTCACCACTTCCAGTTTCCACAGTACCCACTGCATATGCTGAATCATTATTTAAATCCCATAGTGGTAAAAATAAAGGTATCAATAGGCAGAGATGATTTCTGTTACTATGCAAAAACTCTCCAAAACTTCTTGAGCCTCTAAAGTAGCAAAGTTTCTTTGATCCATGTGTCTGTATTACAAAGACAGAAACTGCTTTTATATTTCTATGCACATATATTTGCACACTTGGCTGCCATCCCTTATTTTGCAGATTGGTAGCAGTGCAACATCTGTTTAGCAGAGGATACATAAAACTGGGGATAGAATAAAGATGGCTAAAGGAGGACAAAGGCTTAGAAAAGGCATCTTCTAAAGAAAGAATTGATTTTTTTCAAAGAATCATAGAATCACTTTGGTTAGAAAAGACCTTTAAGATCGTGAAGTCCAAGTGTTTCTGCTCAGAATATTTCATTTTTGAGAATAATGAGTCAAACCAAGTGCTTCTGTTATTGCTTTCTTCCAGAAACTGAAAATATTTTACATGTCTGGACTGTGAAGCTAGAAGAAGATGCTAAAATGAAGGGGATGTGTTGTATTCTTAATATGAGAAAAGATGTTGGGCTCAATTTTGTTGCCCACACAGGGGTGTCTCAAAAATGAAGGGGATGTGTTGTATTCTTAATACGAGAAAAGATGTTGGGCTCAATTTAGTTGCCCACACAGGGGTGTCATCTGAGATCCTATGAAGTCTCTTGCCTGGCTTCTGGCTTCTTGCAAAAGAGCATGCTCTGCTATTGATCTCGTGTAGTATTCCTGACCTAAACTCACTGTGGTTTTATAACGATTACAGAGGATAGGGTTTCTTTTGGTTCTGATCATCTGGGATAGGATCTTTTTGCTGCAAGGATACTACAGCTGGATTTCATTACCTGCCTATAACTCAAGGCCTGATACTTCCTTTATATGTTCCATGATTTACTGGTGCTGTCTTGGTCTGCTTCATCAGAAGTATATAATGAGCCTTCATTCATGTTTGTACACTATAATAAATAAGTGATCTCATATCTCTCATGGTTTTTACAATGAGTTGTTTGTCCCCTTGTCCCCTGTGATATTCTCATATTTTTATATTTTTCTTTTAGGTTGGTTGTTACTTGAAGACCCCTAAATACCCAATTTGGTTGGTATGCAGTGAAAGCCACTTCAGTGTGCTTTTTTGTTTGGAAAAGGATTTACTGGGTGACTGGAAAACAGAACGGAGATTTGATCTATATTATTATGATGGCTTGGCCAATCAGGAAGAAGAAATACGGCTAACGGTTGGTATGTACAGCTCAGTAACTCTGCATTTCATCCCTGGTGGTGGCAACAGCATCATATCATAAAAAATTCAGTAATACAAACAATGATGGTCTCGGGCATGAAAGATTATTTGTGTGCCTCTTTCCTAATTTCTGTAATTAGTTTTGATGATAAATTGGGAAATTAGATTTCACAAGGAAATTTTGAGGATAAGCTCTTGAAAGGGTTAAAAGTGAACGTGTGGTACTTTATACAGATTGGTAAATCTTTCAGTGACACTGATTTCCAAGGAACAGATTGTGATCTGGTCTGTTCATGCTCCAAGGAGTATAAACCAGATTTAACTACTCACATTCTCCTTCACATCTCCTCACATCTTTTCTACAGGGAGAAAGTGTAATTCTCCTGTTCCCCAGCCCTACATGCCTGCAGTAAAATGAGCAGAGAGGGTGAGGAAGCATGAAATTCTTGCCTCCCAAACCAGCTACTTCAGAAGATGGCAGGAATTTGCTAACAAAGTCTAGTCTCTTACCTACTTGTAAGCATACCTGGAAACACAAGCATGCAAAAGATCTTCTGACTTGTTACACTCGTTCTTTCAGGAAACCATGCCAAATTATGCAGCTGCTTTTACAGTAATTGCGTATTTCTCCAACTGGAAGGCTTTTGGAAAAGAAGTATACTGATGCTTAGAAAGCTCCTACTTATTGCCATGTTAAGATATTCTTGACCACTGAATTCTTATTTGCTAATAATATCGACTTATCTTTTATTTCCTTCGATATATTTATACAATTTAATCAAATTCCTTCTCAGTCTTAAGGAGCCACTCTGTTGTAGTCCACTCTTTGAAAATAAGCTGTCTGTATTCCTTGTTTGCACCTACATTCTGGTTCTCGGACCGGATTATTTATCGGTGGTGTATGTTCTCACTGAGGCCATGTGGCAAAGCTGTTTGTGTGGTGGGACTGCTGGGGGCTTTAGCATCTCACAAGATTTGGTGATGAATTCAGTTGTCTTCCTGCCTGTTATTTATCCTCTTATTTTAATTAAAATCCCTGTCATTCTACTGTAGTGATCACATTATATATTATCTCAGAAAAACTGCTTAACCTTTACAGGACTATAGTTACCCACTGGTTCCCACACAGTCTGTCACAGATGAAGATTAGTTGTAAATGGCACAGATTATATAATTCAGCAGAGTACTAGAGAGATCGAGACACACTTTTTGTATGTGTTGTACCATGTAACACACAGTCCAAAACAGATGCCCTTATCTGTCTTTTAATCATAAATAAAGCAGAAACATTTTCAAAAATCCAGAGCTACCAAGCATTCTGTGATCCCTGGATGAGAAAGTGCTCAGTTTGTATAAATTTTTCTCTTTACTGTTCAACCTGTCACAACATAGCTGTATGTTTCTCCTTAAACACTACACTTGCATTGAGAGGTAGATATCTTTTTGTTGTGGCTATAACCTCTTCCAGGGATGTGTCCTAGTAAATCTTTTGTTATCTGTGAAATTCTGCAAAAAGCTGTAAAATGCAAATAATGTCATCATTCCAGGGAAATGCTTTCTTAGTTCTGGCTGTAGACTAATCCTTTGTTAGGTCTGGAGAAAAACTGAAATTACTTTGCATCCAAAAGGTACCATTGATCATACATCTAAACCATGCATAGAGTACCAGATGGAAATAGCAGAATGCTAAGAATTACTGGCATTTCCATTGTGGAAATATCAACAAGCTTTTAGGGTTAGGCAGCATTACCAAGAGATGCAACATGAGGTCCTGAGCGCTGCACAGCCACATCCCACTGGTCCTGGTTAGCAAAGATGTTTGCTTTTCACTAGATAGAAGGTGAACTCCTTGAAATGGGAATCTTTTTTATAATTAGGAAAATTGCAATTAAGGTCACATTTCAGGAAATCTTGGAGAAATTACAATGAGCAAGAAAGAATAAAAAAAAAAAAAAGAAAAACAGAAAGGAAGAGTGGAATTGCTTTTCAGGGGTAATAGTAATTGCCACTTTATATTGAGAATTTTTCCTGCTTCTCCTACTCATAGCTATGTGCCGAAATGGAGACAAGGAATATGAAGTTCCTTCCTAAAAGCAGGCAATGCCTGCAACTGAGTTCAACACACTATCCTTATCCTTTCTGTTTCTTTAATCTTTTCCATTGGGGTTGAAATTTCTGATAGGCAGAGATGGAAAAAAAGGCAGTGGATCTAAATTAACAACTGTCTGCATTTTGTTAATCTTCTTTTTTCAGCTGTTCAGGGACTGAGTGGAGATTCTTGGTTTTTTACTATATGTCACAGAGAGTACTTGTATGAAGGAGTATGTTGTACTGCTCAGAGTGATACTGCTTCTCCTTTCTGGTATATACAATTAACGCCTACCTATGTTAACATTTACAATATGTTGTCTCCAACTGAAGATATAGGGAATTTTCGTACAATCTGTCTTAATAAATCATTCTTATATCTCATTGGCGCATACCTTCCAACTCAGTATCCTTTTAAAGGTGTTTCCAAAAAGCAGCTGAGTAATTGCTGAGAAAACTATGACTGAATTTCTCAGAACATTCTTCCAGACCTCTAATGAACCAATATAAACTCTTCACTATTAGGATAAAAGAGGCCCTTTGAAACTTAAAAGATTCCCGTGTGCCTGTAAGTTCCTGAGGATCTAGGAGAAAACTCTCAATACTTTATGTACTTTTAGATATTGTCTGTTTCCTACGACTCCTGCCCTTACTCCTGCATGCGTTTATGCCACGAGATCAACAGCCAAGGGAGAGCCAGGTCCTCTCTAGGACATGAGGAAGCCAGATATATCTGAGACTGGCAGCTGGGAATCTAAGATCAATTGCCTCCCATCCTGTCTACATCAGTCTCAGTGAAGCAGACCCACCTACACCCTGTCCTGGCATCATTTGTTTCTCTCAACCTCCCCATTGGCTGGATGACGAACAGAAAAGAAGAAAAAGAAAAAACAAAATCCGAGTCTGCTGCAGTTTAAAATGTTATACTCCAAAACAGGAAACAGCTGAGCAGACTGACATACAAGCTGGTTGCAGGATGTTTTCTCTCTGGGAAGTTGAGTGACTACTTTCACTGTTGACAGATGCAGTGTCTGAGACACTGACCTCTCTGTTTTCCCCGGAAGAGCGCAATTGCCTCTCCGTCCCAGAGGAATGCTCGCAGCCCGTGGTAGCTCTCTTATCTCCAGCACAACTCTGTCTTCTCCCATCTGTGCACTGCTTTCTCAACACTCAAGGGACGATCCTCTTTTCCAAGGTGAAGGAGTCTTAACCCAGTTTGGACTGGACTTGGGATTTCCTATTTAAGGGTAGGACTACCACTGTCCTTAGTATCTGAGTGATAAAAATTGCTTTGTTAGTAATTATGACATCAATTGTAAAATAAAAAACCTCATGACAGCCCTCGAGCGTATTCTTTCACTTTCTAATCCAATTTGCCTTGAAATCATCTCTATATTAGTAAACTAACCAGGGCCAGGGCATGAATCTGAACACTGTCCCATGATCATCCTTACCATTAAGCAGCCAGCACAATTCTGAGCAAGTTTCTGGTCCAGAACAACTAATACTGGACATGTTCTGGGGATCATTCCCAACAGCAAGTTTGCATTCAGTCCCCCCCTTTCAGTCTTTAGACTGCCACCACATGAACACGGAGTAGACCTCGAGCTAAAAGGGTTCAAGAGATGACAAAGCCATGAGTGCTCATCTCCCCGGGTATTTCAGTCCAAAAGTGGATATGTATCTTCTGGGGGCTGGGAGTTTCACCGTGGGAGTGGTAGTCCATCACTTCCATGGGTGGGGTTCCAAGAAGCTACTGCAGTAATCTATACAAATAGAAATATACTCCAGTCACTAATTTGTCCGATATGTCTCTGCAGACACAACTCAGATGTGCACTGGAGATAAAGAAAATGATCTTACTCCTCCACTTGAGCATTGTATCAGGACAAAGTAAGTGAAAACTACATTTTTATTATACGTATTTTCAGTTATTGATACAAAGAATATAGGTAAGGCTGGAGTGTGTGATAAAAAATATTACAGCAAGAAACCTTGCAAAATTACTGCTTGAAAATCATAAAGGATCTCAATAGGCCGTGCTGTGATAATATGTATTCCACATTTTATTGTTGTAGTTAATATCAAACTGGCTGAAAAGTTCAATTCATTCTCAGAGGAACCTTCATTATACCACCAAGAACCGACTGAACCAAATTCAGTTTGAGTGTGCAGCTTGATTTCAATAGATCTAAAATTGGGTTCCCAAAAGTGATTGGTTCCTATTGCAGAGGTGTAGTGAGAAAAGGAGAAAATTTCTTACGTCTTCATCAGACTTTTCTGAAAAATATAATTGCACTGGGGGGACTCGGTGCATTCTCAGTGTATGAAGTTCCAGGGTCTCAGTGTTCTGAAACTTTCCCTGTGTCCATGGGCAGCACAGAGTTTCTCAAGATCACAAAACACTGTGTCATTCTTGACATCCTTAGGTCATATTCTTTTCCTAAATACAAGGCCATTTCCTGCCATAGGATTTCCATGGCCATTTTGAGGCCTATGTGATGTTAAATGATGGAATTTTAAGAAGTTCATCCAAGACACACTGAAGCTAATGAGAACATCTTCAGTTCAGTGAAAAAGAAGCAAAAAGCGGCAAATTAACTGGGTAAAAAATCAGCTTTATATCAACTCCCTGAGCAGGACTTTGAAAGCTGCTATCTGAGTATCTTTGGAGCAAGAAGTAAAAGCCTCATTGTCAAAGACCGTAACATTTGTTAAATCAACAAGCCAGGCAGCTTCAGATTTCTCTTGTAATTTTGATTCCTCTCCTTGCCACAATCCTTCCTGTAAAAAACACCTCCAAAAAACAAGTTCAGGGGCTGCCAAGCGGTGTGTTCCTGCAGGGCTGCAGCTATAAAGTTACAGAAAAGCAGAAGAGGGATCCTGTAACATGACAGCAGTGACATTAGTCCAGGCTCCCCGTACATATAGGTTGCTTTGTTTCCTCTGTTCCAGGGACACATAAGCATTAGTACAAACTAAGATAGCTAATATATAGCCTCAGAAACCCACACAGCGGGGTGAATAACGCATGCAGCTACCTAAAGTTGCTCTTAGAACATCTTCCATTCCTGGCATTGCATCAAAGTTACACGGTTTTGGTAGTGGTGATGTTTGTTTATTTTAAATTCCGTGCTTTAATCTCCTGGAGAAGTAAATTACCAGCAAATTCCTGTGTCAATTTATTTTGTTTGTACCATTCTCAGGATGTGTCTGATTTACCCTGATCAGTCTGGCTCCTTGTTTTCACTATTTTCCATTTGCTTTGAACATATTTATTTAAGCATGGCCTTGCTGCTAAAGGTTTTTCATGTTATATTTTTCCTTTTTGTTTTAAGAACTTTTTCTTCCAAATATGAAACAGTATATAAGGAACAGTAAGAACAAACCAAAACAAGCAATATTTCAACAAACTGGGAGATACAAAAGAATTGTTTTCTATCACACAACAGTACTTCTAAACTAATTTTTAGTAAAGCAACAAAGAGCTGTTACTTCTTTTGATCAAGCATTCGTAATGAAGCTCCTTATCAAAATTTTCTCATCAAAAAATGCAGGATAACTTCTCAGACAGTGTGGAGAATTTCGCGGTCTGAACAATCAGAACTGAGAAGGTTAACTGTGGTTTCCACGTGTTGATTGGGGTTTTTTCTTTCATTCACATGACTCAGTTCTGGTTTAGTCCATGAAAAGCCTTACCCATTGTTTACCCCGATACCCGAACACCATCGTCCTCTGATGCAGTGAGTTATGTGCCTAACATCTGCCTGCTGTTTGTTCTCCTATCCTCTCCCAAAGGGAAAATTGCATATGTAATAGACTGTTTCTGTATTTAGGGTTTTGTTGTTATTATCAGAGGAGAAGAGCTGTTTTGCTTCTGCAGAAGGAGGCGGCTCATGTTTTTAACCCCTATTATATGAAATGTCAGAAGAGTGAGATTCAAGTTTGAAGCAGGTCACACTTCAGACAGCTAGAATGACTGGTCACCAGCAGGTATCACTGCAGGCTCCCAACCGAGGCCTCAGTACAAGTGCATGTGCTTTTATTGTGGCTTTCAGCCCTGGACATCTGTAGAAAGAGTCAGATTCTGACCAAGAGATGTCTGGAATGTGCATCCCTGGGTTGTTTGGGAGATGCCGTGCAGACGTCTTATCCCGTTCTTCCCTGAAGAATACTCTTATATCACAGTCACCATCCTCGGCATCTCTCTGCACCAGCAGAAAAAACATCTGTTAGCTCTCCCTGAGGGGAATAAACTCTGATCTGATATTATAATCTGAATTCAGCAGTATATTTTGTTAACCCTCTAGCATCAGCTTTCCCTTGTGGTAGTGGGGCTGAATGATACATTCTTTTACCTGTTTTGGCTTTGAAGTGAGACATCCAATGGAAATTTAGTAGATAAGAGGAGAGCATGGACATCTCATCCCGAATTATTGATGTGCTCTAAAACAATACAAAATTATTAGTCCAGGAGATACTCTTTGAATGTTATTCCAGACTGAGCATTGTTCAGGGCCTGACCCAGTTCCTCTTGGGTTCCCGTTAACACCATGACCCTTGGGTGAGGTTGTAGTTGAACCAGATAGGTCAAATATAGTTTTCATGTTGCTAATCTGATAAATTATAATTGAATCAGCAGCTAGAATCTCTTTGAATTACATCGTGGCAGGACAGTTTGGGGAAATGATCACATTGCATTTTCCGGAAAGTTTTGTTTCTGTCTGAAAAGACAAGAGCTGCTCAGCACCTGTGAGTGATGTTCCTCACTGTTTGGCACCTATTCTTCTGCAGATTCAATAGGTGAAAAAAGTTTTGAATCCATCATCACAGGGCCAAACAGCCAAAGTCTACTTTTCAGTCTACAAACAGCTCAGCAAAAATGGTTTGAAAATAAACCACAGGAGATGAGGCTTGTTATCAAAGTTACCTTGAGTCTTGCTTCAAAGGATCGTTTTCTGTTTAAGCTCATTATTGAAACCCTGTTTTAAAAGAAGCCAGTTCCTCATTGCAGAGTAGTCAGCAATATCTTAAGCTGTAACAGCACAAAGGGTATCAGTACATGTTAGTAATTCCACAGAGCACAGTGTAGTCTCAGAGCAGATTTCATTCGGTGTCTTTTGGCCTCTCTGAGTCTCTGTGGATCCCTCTCAAAGCTTTTAATCACCCTGGTGAGATAGAAGGCAGTGCCTTGGGAAGACTACCAAGATAAGGGATGATTGGATGTCACTACCTGAAAAATCCAGTGGGGACAGAAGGTGGTGATTGTCCTTCCCACTCTCATTTGGTTGTTCTGGAGGTGATATTCTGAACCTCTGGCAGGGACAGCTCTCACCACTGGTAAGTGACAACTTGGTTGAATATCTCCAGCTAGAACATGTTCTGCTTTTAGCTTAACATGCGAGATGTCACTGCTGTGTATTCCTACCAAGCTTTGGACTTTCTGCAATTTTAAATTTCTTATTTTCTCAGCAAAATAAAAAAAAAGAAGGAGCAATTTCACAGCATCCCTTAGATGGTCACTTCCTTTGCACTGAATACTGCATGAATTCGGACTTTGGTTTTGTTTTACACTTAATTGGCTTGCTCAGCAAAAGGACTGAGCTTCCATACTCTCGCTGACACATTCTTTCCTCGGTGACAGAAAGAATGTGGTGCTCGGGCAACTCACCCCCTCACCAACGTCTTACTGCTGTGCACATGCACTCTGAGACAGATTTTGAAAACGGATATAAATACTCGACACTGAGAATGCAATAGTTTTGGAAGATGTGGACCATGAACATGAGAAATGCCACGCACAAGGGTGCGATTCATGCAATGACTGACTCTGAGTGTACAGTGAGTTGACTCACTTCAACCCAGCAAGGTCTTAGTTCAGATCTTTGTCTTCTGCCATGATTTGAAGATACGTTTGTTGACAAATGCAGGATGGGCACCTTCTTTGCATTCGGTGTTGGTCACATTCCTGGAGGGGGCAGCTGAGCAGTAGCATCCAGTGCACAGCCAGGAATTAAAAACACAAGAAGTTTTTGTGCACATGTGTGGACTCATTTGGAAACCATGTTCTCAATGTACATCTTTAGTGCTATTCTGAATAAGGAATGAGGGCAGAGAAAAAGCAAGCCCTCAGTGTAGGAAAAGCAAAGCATTGCCATTAAAGTGAACCATTGAATATTTTGAAGGAACAAAGGTCAGGAGCAAGGATAGCTGCTAAATTAAATAATCCTCTCTCATGGTCTCAGAGTCACAGAGTTCCTATTCAAAGGCCTGTCTGCATACGAGTGTTCAAATGGCCTACTAACAGCTGAGACTGAGCATTCTAGTTTTATAGGGTTAATTTTTGTGCCAGTTTTGGGGATTGCCTACAGTATCTACATCACAAAGGTACTTATTCTGAATCAGCTGCTGCTGAGGACTCTCTATCACATAGAAGAGATCAGAGGAAGGGTAAGGAGACTGACCTCCAAACTTGGGCACCCAAAATTAGTGGGCACAAGTACCTCACTTCTGCTCCTTTCCCTTTGAGAAGATGTGATTAGTTACCCCAGATGAGTCCATCTGAGTCTCTCAAAGGTTCTTCGGGTGGTTGAGGGATGCTGGGTTACCTTTCCAATGACCTGATTAACTGATGGATGTAAAATGGTTGCTTTCATTTCTAGGTGGCAAGGAGCTGTTATTGACTGGAATGGCACAGAACCAATCCTGTGACTGACCTGACCTGCACTTTATTTGTAAAGACAGAAAGGAAATGACTGAATTAGCACATTCCTATTCCCACCAATACAGGAAATAGGACCAGAGTTGTGCAGTTTACGATGAGGAAGAATGACATGGTTTGCAGGCTGGAAGAGTTTCACCTCAATCACCTCGTGCTTCAGATATTTTGCTTATAATATAAACAACACTTACGTAAATTCCTTGTCACTGCCTTTAAGATACAGCTTCTGAGAGCAGACTGAGTTTCCACCACCAAATCAAGGTTACAGATGAAGCAGTGAAGTCGTCAACGTCCCCTTGAGGTCTCTTTCTGGATCCACTCTGTATCCTGCAATTGTTTCAAAGCATCTGATGAAAGATGCTAACCCCAGATTTCTGTCACTGTTCATGCCTTCTCTGTACTGACTAAGTCTTCATCTACAAAACCCCAGTACAAGTATAAAATATCATCCAAGAAATAAGTCTTCACTTCTTTACCTTACATTAGTAAGTCCTGGTTTGCACTAAAGAGATTGGCAACCATATGGGCTTTTCAGGTAAAGCCTGACCTATACAAAATTCTTGGGTCTTAAAATTTGCTGTAAGGACTGTGGTTTGGTGTTACCAGAGTAAAAATAATACTAGTATGTTCCTTATACTGGGTGCAGTTGGTATGTAACAGTGCCTCACACTGATGTAGCTCATTTTTCTTTCTGGATGAGAGAAAGCTGTATCAGTATCTTTATATTTATACCATTGTAACAACCTATACACTAGGGTTTATTTACTCCAGAGTGATAGATAAGATCTGTGGTTTGCTTCTTCATAATTATGAGGAAACAGAAGAGCTGTTAGGTTTGAAATTTAGATGGTGCCTATGTGTGATAGATGCCATTTTTCATGATTACATAAAGTGCATGCACTGAAATGATGTATCGTGGAGAGGTATCACGAGGTACCAAAACAGCAGTTTGTACTCTGAAGTGAATTCTTTAAGTGACATATTTTGGCAACACTTTACCAAAATTGGAACAAGTTACTGAACTGAAGATTGGAAAAAATGCCTTGGAAAAAAGGCAGATAAATGGTGTTTCTGGAATTATTCCTCTTGAGAGTGAGTATTTCATGAGCTTAAGAAAAAACTTTTACCTTCTGATATTTATCACCTTCTTCTTAGTCAGTATGCAAACTCTGCTGAGTCCTGATAAACTAGTAGCTATATCCAAAATCAATTTCCAACAAAACTTCAGTGTCCTACTGTAGTTAGTGTAGAGATACCAATCTGATTGTGCAAATACAAATCTTAGGGAATGAGCACTTGAGCTAGATTTGGAAACCAACCTGAATGTAAGCCACAACGGAGTTCCAGGAAGGTTTAGATAGTCTTTGAATTAACTGTCTCCCTCTTTGCTTCCCAATCACATCAAACTGCCTATATGCATTAAAGCATCTCAGAGTTTCAGTCATTTTAATTTTATTTAATTCAGTGTAATGTAATTTGTTTGCTTCGGATCAGATAGGCAAACTTATTTAAACTTTGAGAGATTAAGATCTCCCATTTAGGCTCAGAGGAATCTGGTCTGAGCCCATTCCTGCCTCTGCTACAGGGGTCTTACATGGCCTTTGGCAAACCCTTTCATTTCTGTGTATGTAGGAATATGTTTGTACTGTCAGCTATAGGTGGCCTCAATATACTGCCTTTAAGATACCCTCATCATCCATACTTCAAGCACTCCAGTTTCCCAGGAAGAGCTCAGTGTGAGCTCTGGGAATGTGAGCTCTGGGAATGGGAGATCCCAAACTGCCAAAGATGCCCCCAGATCCAAAGTCTATTCCTCCTGAAATTTCTATGAACTATAGTCTACGCTTTGTTTCATGAAGCAAATACAGTTTGATTTTCCCACCTACCTCACAGGGCATCTATAATGTAAAATAAGATTTTATTGCAGAATGCATTTGGACAGAAAGTAGTGTAGAGATGAAAAATGGAGGAAGATTTTTGGAACCAGGTTTAACAAAAAAATTCCTTTCTGGATTTTTCAGTCGAGTAAACCTACGCCATTTACTTTCAAGTACTGCTTTAAAGTATGTCAGTTTGGAGATAACCTTCCACCCCCTGATAAAAGAGCAGCAAAGTCTTCATCTGTAAAAGGAGGGAGCTGCCTTGTGACGGGCCAGATTTCATCTGAGCAAAATACAGATTCCTACAGAGCAGACGTGTTCAGAGGAGCTGTTCTGTGTTCAGAGGAGGGGAGATATCAGGGTGTGATGTGTATTTGCTTTGGGCTCCAGACTGCAGGATGAGAAGATGAATATAAAGGGAGCCCAAGAGGATTGTCCCAAATGGATTTCACCCATGAAGATGTTAGATTTTTTCAGGATATAAGAAAGAGTATAGATTATTAAGTAGGTCTTGGAAATAGACTGTGGTTTATGGTTCATATTGGAGTATAAAGGAAGATGAGGAAAGATCCTGAACTCTGATCCTCTCTCTAAAACCGGCTGCAAAGAACTTTGAGGCTCCTTCATCACTGCTTATGGAGAGTACTTTTGTTGAAACTTAATTTCTATGACAACAGAACGTCAGTAAGACAGATAATTTTACCCATTATCTGTTATTATGCCCATGGATATTTGTTCTGCAAAGCCCACTGTCCACCTGTCATCTATTTAAGGTTAATAGAATCCAGATTCACCTGTGCCCTCACTCACAGAGGCAGAGAGCACTTGGACCACTTCACCAAACCACCACCTGTGTAGGATAATTCCCCTAAGCTGGAGAACTGAGAACCTCAGCGTTATGAAGGTCCTTCCACCACCCTGGAGCCCAAAAGCAGTGTTTTCCTTCACCAGGAAGGACGAAATATAAAACTAGAACATTCATTGAGATCTAATTCCACTGCAGACAAATGCCAGAGCATTACCTCGGCCACTGCTTGCATCAGAAAGAAGACTTGCAGAATTTTATTTGTTATAAAGCACCAGAAGTTATTTCCCTTAAGACTTTACAAGGCTTTGAGTCAATCAGACAAAGCAATGCAAAGTGTTAGAAGGCAGTGCAAAAACCTTTGCACAGATCTGTGCACAATCATATCCTCTTCCAGCAGCATGCATCTATTTTTTTTAATTATGCTTTCCTCTTCATTGTTTCTCCTTTTCTTTTTCATTGTCCAATGAATGTGACTTCCTGAAATGAACAAAGCAGCAACCATTTTTGATAATTGAGCATTAAAAGACACCGGTGGTGTTTGGCACTTGGTCTGTATGTATGTCTTAACGTCATTCTCTTTTCTTCTGTGGTATAAAAAATATACCCTATGTTAAAAATTGACCCCTTAGCTCACAACAGACATGGCATGTTGTGTATGTAGATGACTATCTAAGCAGAGGTACTATTTTGAAAAGGTGTCATATATGTCACCTTTGTACAAAATGTATATTTAACCTTGTCTTGTACACAATGCCCCAAGCAAATAAAACATTTAAAGCTATGGTTATAATAACAACTCAGATTTCCTCATTTATTTTTTTTTTTAAATTCACTTATATGGGTCAAATCTGGGAGAACTTTGAGATATGCTGACTTGCTATCATGAATGTATTTCTGCTGTCACTGTGTGCTTTGTTCCCAGGCAGAGCAAAAGGGAGAACTTGAGTCTTGTTGTTTCCAAGTCTTCACTTTTTGAAGGCAGATGTCTGTTTGGTTTTGTTCCTAATATATCTAATGGGCTAATGTGAAATGACAGGAAATGGTCACTTTAGAAATCAGAGGAAAGCTGAAGAGCTTGGAAAAATGACACAGCCATAAGCCAAGTTTTTCAGAAGTGATAAGTGGCTTAGGAGGAGCTCTAAAGCTTCAATTGCTGAAACTGAAGTACTTTAAGAAAGCACGATTGTCTGGTTGGGATCTCCATTAAACCATGAGGACCTCAAATCACTGGTTGTTTCTGAAAATGCTGTGACCAATTTTTTGAAGGAGTAAAATAGTACTTCAGAGGGCCTACGTGATTTGGGGCGTGATTACGAAACTGGATTGCGGTACAACACATAGAATTGTATTATTTTTGGTAACTCAGTTTCATTTTCCTGTTCTGGAGTAAGTTTACTGTAGAGGAAAATGCCCTGAATTATTTCACATTGACCACAGCTGGTATGTGGACACTGATTAGGGAATAGGTGATAAAAAATTAACACACACCAAAGTTTGTCTTTGTCTCTTCAATAATAATTTGTCTCTTAAGTTCATTTTTGCAGATACTTAAAGATTAAGAATCAAACACCAAAGCCTTTATTACTGATATGTATTACTTTCTTTTTATGTTCATCAGTAAGGTTATGTAGGAAACAAGAGATGTTTCTTCATGCTCCTGCACGTCCGTCTGATCCAGGGCCCAGTCTGCTGCATAACCTAAGGAAAACTCATCCCATTAAGAACACTTTGTATATACTAGCACTCTTCATTTATTTGTTTTCATTGGCTAAAAGATAATAAATTCAACATTTGCTTCTGAATTGAGGAAGCAGTTTCTCCTTAGCGGCTTTGTTTATAAAACCAGAGAAGGAAAAAGGACGTTTTCAATCAGATATTTTATTTGTCATTTCAGCCAGGGTGGGAAGTATTGCTGGAGTGGAAAGCAACCTATTTTTGTGACATCCCTCATTAACAATAGTTGTTGACTATACTAACATGGAAGCAAGCACTGATTTAAGAAAAAAAAACCCTCTCTAGTATGCAAAGTGAATTTTTTCTAAGTCAAATATTTATTAGTATTCCAAGATTTTAAGCTTCTTCTGGTGAGTTTTTTATTTTTATTATTTTCCTTTTGCTTGAAGGAATTATGCTAAACTGCAACAGTTGACACTTCATGGAAGTTGTGCTAGAGGCACAGCTCTTTGCTATTCAGAAGAATGGAGAGCACTTAGGCTTTTGCTGGACCCTTGAACCTTGAACCTCCTTCTTTGACCTCTAGCTCTTGGCATCAAGGTGAGGTTCAGCCTGTGTGTGGTTTCCATGGCACCGTACACATTGCCTGCTGTTCCCAGCGTGCTTTACATAGCACGGCCTCATCTGCACAGGTTAAAATGTCTTATAGTAACTCACAGATCTGGGTGCCTCACTTTCCAAGGCCCATTTGAGAAACCTGAGACTGTTTATGAAAAAATAAGAATATAATGAGTTGCTGTAGACAGCCTGAGATGAAGCGGTCCTGCGTGGACGCGAGATTCAGACACTCTGAGATAGTAAACCTGGAAGCAGCAGTGTGATGTAGTAACTCACAGATCTGGGTGCCTCACTTTCCAAGGCCCATTTGAGAAACCTGAGACTGTTTATGAAAAAATAAGAATATAATGAGTTGCTGTAGACAGCCTGAGATGAAGCGGTCCTGTGCAGAGGCAAGATTCAGACACTCTGAGATAGTAAACCTGGAAGCAGCAGTGTGACGTTAGAATCATAGAATGGGTCAGGTTGGAAAGGACCTTAAAGACCATCTAGTTCCAACCCCCCTGCCATAGGCAGGGACACCTCCCACCAGATCAGGTTGCTCAAAGCTCCATCCAGCCTGGCCTTGAACATCTCCACATTAATATAGCACTGAAGCTGAATTAATAAACCCTCATTATTTTATGAAGGCTAACTGGCTGAGAGGCAACAAGGATAATGGGTTCAGATGCAACACATCATATTTTGCATAGACCTGCGTTTGCTTACTGGCAGATGTTTGTAACACAATCTGTTTGCTTGATGTACCAATGCTTAGAAAGGCACTGGAAAGCAGTGAGCATCCACAATCTCAAAATAAAGGTCTTTCATGTGTTTGAAAGTGTCATCCCAAACCAACAACTTGCAACATTTTCAACGAGTCTTGGCAATAGCTATTCTACTTAGGCAGCTTCCTGCTGTAGGAAAGCTCCATCCAGCCTGGCCTTGAACATCTAATCATTAATATGGCGCTGAAGCTGAATTAATAAACCCTCATTATTTTATGAAGGCTAACTGGCTGAGAGGCAACAAGGATAATGGGTTCAGATGCAACACATCATATTTTGCATAGACCTGCGTTTGCTTACTGGCAGATGTTTGTAACACAATCTGTTTGCTTGATGTACCAATGCTTAGAAAGGCACTGGAAAGCAGTGAGCATCCACAATCTCAAAATAAAGGTCTTTCATGTGTTTGAAAGTGTCATCCCAAACCAACAACTTGCAACATTTTCAACGAGTCTTGGCAATAGCTATTCTACTTAGGCAGCTTCCTGCTGTAGGAAGGTTAGTCTCATCTAAGGTTAGTCTCATCTAAGGTTAGTCTCATCATTCAAGGCCAGGCTGGATGGGGTCTTGAGCAACCTGCTCTAGTGGGAGGTGTCCCTGCCCATGGCAGGGGGGTTGGAACTAGATGATCTTTGAGGTCCCTTCCAACCCAAACCATTCTATGATTCTATGATCTGTGAACCTCAAGCAGGATCCATCTAATCTAGTCAGAGGTGTCTACAGGGTAGATATCCTCATGTAAACCAGTGACCCAGGACTATCTTTACAGCCACGGGTGAGAAACAGGCACAACGTGGGCATAAGCCACCTGACCTGTTTTAAATGTCTACTAAGTGAATTGCATTTTTCACTTCCCTGCCTGCTGCTGGCTGGATCTCCACTGATTTTACTGACTCTTGGGAGGCTAGGATGACTGCTTCAAATGAATTCCACTGTGTGCAAATGTTAAGGTCAGAAAAGAAGGAGGACCTGTTTATAGACCCACATATTTGACAAAACAAGTGAATAAGATGATGGTTTAGAGATTCCTCCTGGCTCCTGCACCATTCTTACCTCTGTCTACTTCACAGCTTCTAGCTGTGAGCTAGAGAAGCATCTACTTGTGAAGGAAATCACAGGGTTGAGCAGCAGGAATTTGCCAGCATTTGAAGAAGGTGCTGCTGATAAAATTTGGTTGCTCACAGGGGCACACAGGAGGCATATCAGAGTCAGGACCTGGAAGGTTGAAGAAGGTGCTGCTGATAAAATTTGGTTTCTCACGGGGCACACAGGAGGCATATCAGAGACAAGACCTGGAAGATGTCCTAGACATGAGGTTTTGTAACCATAGATTTCTTGTCTAAAAGAACTAGGACTGTGTCACAATCCTAAATCCTGATAAAACACCCAAGATATCCGTACCTTGTGTGGGTGTTCCGCTTATTTTCTTATCATTATCTTATCATTTGGCAAGGACTTCCAAATTAATCTAAGAAATATTCTGGGCATTTGTAAAAATACTCTGTGCACTGGAATTCAGCAAATATTTATTAATTGACAAAACACCAGCAAAAGAATGTGTAACCAAAAAAAGAATAAAACTGTTCAGCTCCTCTCTGTAGAATACACAAATAATATGAGGTTAAAAGTTACATTCCACAAACATACCTTTTGCTGAGATGTACTTGTGTTTTAAGTGCTGTGGATATGAGCCAAGGTTCTCTGGACCTTGAATTCTGGATTATTGCTGGAAGGAACACGGAAAATATAGCTTCTGGCTAAGGGAAGGGAGTGGTCCATGATCTCCACCTGTGCAGATCTGTGTGGCACAGTTCCCCTGAGGATGGCAGGGTTTCTGCACGGGTATTTCCAAAGGGAACTTAAAACCCCAACTGAGGATCACAGACAGTGAGTAGCCACTCAGTCAGCTGTGTGTGTGACATGGGTCACATCAGTGAAGTTTTGGCTGGGATTACAGCATAAACATTAAAAAGGCATCATACTAAGTGGGGGTGGAAGATGCAACAGTAGGTAAATTAATTTTAGTAACCCAAATGAAAAGGAAATATCCACCTTAAACATTGAACATGAAAGAGGCCACAATTCATTTTACTCTAGAGGTACAGGACATCACGAATCACTGGGGTTTTTTTCTGTTACTCAGATTTTTTTCTTCTTTGTGATGCAGTTTTAGGCTTATACTTCATCTTCTTTACTGAATCATAGAGTCATTTAAGTCGGAAGGGACTTCTAAGATCATCGAGTCCAACCATTAACCTAACGCTGCCAAAGCCACCACTAAATCATGTCCCTCAACACTATGTCTACCCATCTTTTAAATATCTCTTCAGGAGAAAAACATACCAAGGGCCAAACTCATGCCAAGTGCAAATCAGCTGAACACTGTTTTGAGAGTGCTCCGTATCTTTATTTATCTCACATGTAAGATAACTGTCTTGTATGCTATTACATTTTGGCTGAGAAAAAGGTTCACAGTTTGTGTCTTTATGTCTTATTGCCTATGATACATCTCCGCATTCCTGTTTTTAAGTGGCCGTAATACATTGTTGATATGATTTCAAATCTGCTGTCATATGTTGTTTGCATTTGGTTAATAGAAGTAAAAGGGAAAAGCATCACAATAGCAAATTGTGGCTGGTGAATGTCAGCCCCAGATAGTGTGACAAATGAGTAATGCTTCGCAATGGCGTGTGAAGAAAGCCAGTCTTTTACGAGCACTTCAACGCAGCAC